TCGATAGAGAATTAAAACTGTCATTATTTTTTAGGAATAAGAAGACCTTTTATAAGAATATCTTTAAAAAAAAGATAAAACTTCTTTTACTTGGGTTGGAATAATAAAAAGATACATAACGTAAATCACTTAGGTTTTATTTGAGAAGCACGTATATTCTCAGTCTTTTTTCTTCTTTAAAAAAGTAAGCTTATACATCACATCTATTTTTTACAACAAGCGTGTGTTTTGTGTGTAATAATTATTAAATTTCAATTTAAAATAATTGTAAATTCTACAATTTGGATGTAAAAAAGTGCCATCACTACTCCCATCATCTTTTAATTGTAATATAAAAATGTCAAGTTAAATATCAAAACAGTTATCTATATTTTTCAGGAATCATGATTTCCGAAAAAGAATTAAAGCTGTTATAACTTAGTTGGAATAGGTAATTTGGTGTAACAGCTTTTTCTACAAGTGTGTAACACTTTACTTTATGTAGAAAGATAAATTTGTATTGATAGTTTATATAGAAAGTCAAATATTGATCTTTTTTGGAATTTATTGCCACGTGTTGTTCGAATTCTGACATGTGAGAGCATTGGCATTTAATAGAATTAAGGAAATTCTGTCATCCTGTCATCGATTCAGATCGCTTTCTTACTACTATAATTTTTTAGAAGATTTTTCAATAAAACATCAGAGGCCCTATTCTGTAACTGTTTTACACGTCTTTTCACCATATAAAATATCTGCGCAACGACACCGACAACTGTAGGCGTGTAAAAACAGTTACAGAATAGGGGTCCAGGTATATTTAAAATTTATAATTTTCGAGTATATATGGCAATATTACCGCTCCGTTTAAAATAAAATCATTTAAATATAATTAATCATAATATAAATTAATCAAATATAATTAAATATAATTAATCATTAAATATAATTAATTTCAAAAAATAGATTTTCATGTGTTTGGATGAAATTTGAAGGAGGCTAGAATTGGCCCTTATAGATCTTTTTTCTTTGTGATATTGTTTTTATATAATAAAGAAAGGAAAATTAATTTCCTTTTTAAAGGAAAATTAAAAAGATAATTACTTGAGTCGATATAAGTGTCAAGAAAAATATCAAGATGACGGTCACCTGCATTTCCGAGAAATAATAATAATTAACAAATATACATAATTTTGTTTCCATCCGATTTTAATTGCTCTTTTTATTCGTTATTTTATATAAAACAAATTATACACAAATAAAGATCAAGGACAAATAAATTGCATTGTTATTATTATTTCCTAGCTTAGTTAACAAATACCAGCGTATAATAATGTCCGTTTCCATTTTATCTCTTTTTATTAACTTATAAATAAATGGAGATCAAGGATGATCAAATTACTTTGTCGTTATCATTTTAAGCTTACAAGGGGAACATCAGTGCTAGTACCCTTAAATTTAGGTGCCAATTGATAACTCTACAAATCAAAAATTCTTCTGTTGGATAATTTTTCCATGTAGATCTTAGTTTTTGAGTTTTTAAGTTTTGAAGGTCGGCTGCGCTTTGGACGGCATATATGAGCTATTCCATTAATATGATTCGCAAGCAGTACGATATGTCATAAACTCGCATTCTTTGATTTTTTATGTGAGTCATTTGTGCTCACTGCTTTTAATATACATTGCTTTTAATATGTTATGCGTGGTCTATAATGGCAGTAACAACAGTGGATGAGACAGTAAGAGTAAGAAATTGATCACAATCAATTATTTTCCTTATATTCAACTATGATTGTTCAATTTCTTATTCTTATAACCTTATTTACTATTGCTATTGCCATTGTAGGTCATGCATTAATGAAACGACTTATCTACCAAAGTGCAGCTGATTTTCTCAACTTAAAAAATCGAAAACTAAGACTTATATGGAAATATTGCCAGATGCGGAATTTTTTTTACTTATAGAATTACCAAAAAAATTGATATTTAAATTCAAGGTATCAAGCTCCGGGGTACAGGCAGCCTCTTGTTAGTTAACAAATACCAGCGTGTAATTTCGTTTCCATCCTATCTATTTTTATTAAATTATAAACAAATGAAGATCGAGTCGAATAGATCATTTTGCCATTATCATCTTCTAGCTTAGTTAATAAATATCAGCGTATAATTTTGTTTCCATTTGACTTCCTCTTCTTCTTCCTTTATTATAGGTTTTGCTTGTTTTTCTTCATGCGTTATGTTTAGGATTCTCTATGACGAGTCTCCAACTTATCTTTTCGATGGCCTTCTGGGGAGTCGATTGCCTACCGATCTATAATTTCTCGCTATTTTTATTAAACGTGTGTTGTCCGTCCTTCCGACATAATTATTCCATTCCTTCCTCCGGTTCTTGATGAACCTCAACCGATGTCTGACACTCCTTTCTTCCCTGATTCTTTATTTCTCACTCTATTGGCTGCAGCATAGACTTTTGCATAACGCATAGTGCATGATGCATAAGGGAATCAACCAATCGAAATTCTTTTTTTCCATGGAATGGGAAGAAAAGATTCTGATTAGTTGATTCGCTTATGCATTATGCGGTATGCAAAAATCTGTGCTGCGGCCTTGTTTCTCTGGGTTTTTCCGGTTATCGTTCGTAGGATCATTATTTCTGTAGTGCGGTTATTTTGTCCTCTTTGTTTCTGCGCGTGTTTCGGCTTTGTATGTCAGTATGGATCTGACAGTTGTACACTTGGACTTTACTTTCTGTTGTTAGTTGTTGATTCCTCCAGAAGATATCCCTCAGCACTCCTGATACTGTTGCTTCTTTAAGTGTTTGTTGCTTGACGTCTTTTTGCAAGTTTCCACTGCTAGATATATTGGTGTCTATGTTTGACTTCTATTTTATTTTATTGTTAAATATTATGCTGTAAACAAATATAGAGATCGATGTCGATAAATCATTTTTTCATTATCATTTCTTAGCTTAGTTAACAAATACCAGCGTATGATTTCGTTTTTCATCCGATCTTCTTTTGTTAAATATTAAGTTATGTTATATAAAAAGTGCAAAATGGTTACGTTTGATAGTGTTTTCAAAATGAATGCACTTGACCATACACCTCTTGCACCACTAGCGCATTAGAGTCAAAACATCCAATTGTACATTCTGACTGGTCGATGACGAACATAACGATGACGTATCTTAATCTAAAAAAATAACAGATCCGAACTTTGCGTCGAAATATCTTTGCTCGTAGGGCACATAGAAATAAAATTAAAAGTACTTTTATTACACAATTCGAGTGGATGCTATCGATTAAGCGTACGTAGAACTTGATCGATTCAGCCATTATTGAGATCCAATAATCTTGATCCTCTGCAATTCGCAGTCTTCCATAAAGGAGGCACGGTAGTATCGTTGCGCTTGTCTTAGCACTGAGACACTACCGTTTCTTCTGAAAAGTTAAAAATTCTTTTACCTATAAAGAGTAATTTTACTCCTTAAAACTAATTTCTGTATTAACTAATATTTTATAAATTTACATAATCTACATATGTACAAAGTTTTATTAAAATCATACAAAGATTTATAAAATCAGAATTTTATACTTTGCGTTTCTCTCATAAGTGTACTTTTACTTGAAACTTTTTTAAATACACATTTACTACCGAATCTACAATATAGTTTTGTATGGTTATTGTTTCTATTACAGAAGGAGACTACTACTCAATGAGAAATATCATTTCTTCAATGATTAATGCATTCATAATCTGGGTTATAGATACACATTTAAATAAAATTGACAAGTTTCTCCTACGAAATAAAATTTATTTGTTTTGTTCGGTCTATTTATCGTAAAACAATTACGCTGTTTAGTTTTGACACAATTCTAATGATCACATTAAGTATTAGTAGTGAAATTATTTATAAAAACTCAAAAAGTGTGTGTGTGTGTAAGATTGTGCTGCTCACATAACGCTTTGTCCGTTTGAAATATGCAGCTAGCAGCGCTAGCGTATATTTTTTTTTCACACGTTTCTAAGGGTTGAAATATTTTTTTATTTTTCATAAAAGGAAATATTTTTGAGATTTTTATGAGTGTTTTTTTTAGAGGTGCCAAATTTATAGATTATCGCGATCAATTGTTAATACCAATGTTTCATAAACCTTGCCATTCAATTCATTAACATGCCCATGCATCATTAACTCCTCAGGGGGGAGTAGGAGGCGGCTAATTTTTGCGGAATAGAATTGCTCCCTGAAAAATATTGAGGGTTTATTTGGAACATTTTTTCGTACAATGCTTATTTTTCTAGATATTTTGTAGTCTCTGTTAAAACTCACCCAGTATTTTTGAATGTAATCAGGAACTCATTGAAGCTTGTTCAATGTTCAGTGTACAAATTTTGCTTGGAATTTTTCAAAGTCGATTTTCTCGACAATGACTGAAAAGCGCATCGTGTACTTGGTTAAAGTAATGTTTGGATGATACACTTCACGTACCATAAGTTTCAAATTTTTCTAAATTCCAAATGTCTGAGCCCTCTTCAGTAATATAAATATATGCGGATGAATGTTTTCAATACTATATTCAATATTATATTTCAACCGTGCAGCGCAGTAATATTGATTAGTAGCACTTCGAATAGACTGAATTTGTATTAATTGTCACTTCTGGTGTCTGGTCTTTCCATTGTTAGATTTTTTTATTAATGAATTTATGAATTATCTATAAACTCTAAGTTTGTACATAATACTTGTGCGGTAACCAATTCATGTCTTATAAGATTAAGTCTGCAAACATAGTAGGCGTAATAAACTTTAAGAAATTAATCAATTACAATTAAATGTGAGAAGAATAATCGATTAATTAATCAAATTTCTGAAGCTTTATGGCTTATTACATCTATTGTGTTAGGGGTGGGGAGGGAAGAGGTATCATATACACTCCATATAACAAATACAAGAAAGACTTTTGAGGAAAGCAATTCAAATTTTATATCTCATAATAATTTTTTTTGTTTATTTATAATAGGTCTCAGTGGTTTAACTACGACATCAGTACAGGGTAGTATCGTACATGGTACGCCGGCACAACCACCGGCCACACCTTTAGATTTGAGTCCACTTAGGCATCATAGATCACCTGCGACTACTCCTGTGAGTTACTCTCCCAGTAATAGTCCAGCATTGGATATGATACAAGAAGAACATCCTGTAGAAATATCAAGGGTATGTAACATTCTTTGTTATATTTTTAAAAATTCTTGAAAAGTTGATTGCAAAATACATAATGTTTTATATAAAAATTCTAATATGAAATATTGATATTTTGATCTATATTTTGTGAATTTTTGTTTACAGAATTGAATATGTATATAGATTTACATTGAAATATTTAAGCACTAAGATCTGCTTTGACTGAAAATAGAATTATTTCTCTTAATTGATTTTAATATAAAACATAAAATCTCATAAACCATTCACAGTTTGGTAATCTTACCCTAATACAGCGATAAAATTTAATTGCAACTTGGCCTAATTTTTATATTGATGCCCTCTGACAGTTGCAAAAAACCCATGCAGCACACTTTATTCAAGGGATATCCTAGAAATATCATTTTGAGATTTCGCATTAATCTCACATCGGGGATAGTCTCGGACATCTGGTGGGCATCCAGCAGATACACTAATGTCCGACTCAATGTTATCCTACGGATATTTTAGACGAAGTCCAGAGGATATCCAAGAACTCCAGAAATATCGTAAGATATATAATGCTTTGAGATGTGACATCCTGAATAATTATTATTGTGTATTATACTATTAGACGCATGATTCATGCGAATGTATATTCATATAAAAGTTTAAATATTTGAAGACATGGTAATGGCTCGATGCTACAAGCGTACCGACATTGTAAGGCGAGACCAGCCGTACTGAAGATTTTTTTATTACGCAAACCGACGAGTTGCGAGGGATCGAGATTATCGAATCTCAATAACGACTAAGCTGATCAAGTTTTATGCTCAATGAGTATAGGAAATGCGGAGGAATTAAACGAGAGTATATATGTCATATGCTTGTACATACATATACGCGAGAAATACTATCGATAATTATTTATTGATAAAAAATATATATACCAATACATATCAATCGACGCATTTTTTGTGAAACGAATAAATCTAGTAGAAAAATCTTACTTGGTTATATTAAAGAAGTTATTAAATGTTTAAGATTAGTACATGTAAGATTAAAAAATCTGTCATATCAAGGAATCGTGCCCGTCCCTCACTTATCATATTAATATATAATTTCTAATTAAGAAAAAACACTGAAAAGTTAAATATTAAATTGCATTGTGATAAAAAAGAATGAAAGTTTATTATTAACATACGGTATGACTTCTCTTTTAATGCATGATATATCTTACTTTGCGTAAGGTCTATAATTAAGATTTTTCAGTGAAGTTTTCTTGATTACTTCATGATTTTATTGATAAAATTAAATTCATTTGACGTGTTTTTACATGAAACGAATCTGATAAAAAAACTACCATTTTGTCCTGTGAACCGAGATATTAATCGTTAAAGTTTACAATTCAAGTTAGGAAATCTATCAGAGCCACACAATACTGCGATGAGAGAATGCACTGCGATCACATTGGCTGCGTTCAACAGAGAAAGCACCTTTGCAACTGTTGTAAGATTTTTTACTATGATTAGTTTATATATGTAGATCCATAAAGAACCAAAATCGTATTGAAGAATTTTATAACAGCAAAGCTGTTTTCTTTGCTGAACGTAGCTATTTTCATATTGTACGCTGACATACTCATGCATTTTAGATACATGTCGTTGTGATAAAGAGAAAAGATATAGTGGAATAAACATGTGAAATCTGCCTCTGCACCAATTGAATTCAAATTAATATCGGTAGTTAGCATCCATGAAATGTAAAACTTCTCCAAAAATTAACTTTGAAGTTGCATTTTTGTGGGAGTTATTTTTTTTGTGATATATTTTAGTGATCACCTTCGTATTTTCACGAAAACATTTCGGGATTCTCTACTTTAACATATAATTTTTTCAAATCGATTGAAGTAATGGAACATAGTTAAAAATAACGTAACGTCGCGCCGGTTGGACGGTCGCAGTTGTAACGCGCTGCGGTGCATGGCGGTCGTTGCCGTGGAACTTATCATTATATCGATATTTTCGATTCATCAATTGTTATAGGTTTCGAAATATTCGTTATTGTTTCTACTCACCTCTATTTCAATTTATCTAGGTCTTTCCTAAAGTCAAATTGAGATAGCATAGTAAAAGAAAGGTGAAATATTTGATACGAAAAGTGACATTTAAATTTAAATATAATTCAGATATAGTGAAATATATTCAATTTCATCAATTTTCTAATGAATTTATTTATTAGTAGCAATAATCCAGTTTTGTAAGCCGTAACCAGTATAATATATTACGTACGTCTCATACTTATAATTTTTATGTAATAATATGTGATAATACTAATCATTACATCTTAACATGGAATTTAATTTTGGCTTTAATACAGAGATGTCTTCACGTGAGATGAATGAAAAATGTAAAAACTATAACATATTTTTGAAGAAAGCTATTGGCAGAAAGAAAATTATAAATAATCTTGACATAATTCATATTTTTTTTATTCATCAAGAGTATTTATCATTTTCTTTCTGCTAATGGCTTTCTTCAAAAATATGTTACAGTTTTTGCATTTTTTATTCCTCTTACTTGGAATAGACATCTCTGTATTAAAGCTGAAATTAAATTCAATGTTAAAATTTTAGATGTTATTATATATTATTACATAAAAATTAAAAGTTAATACGTACATTGGTTACGGTTTACAAAACTGGATTACTGCTATTGATAAATGAATTTATTGCATTAGGAAATTGATGAAATTGAATATATCTCATTATATCTGAATTATATCTGAATTTGGATGTCACTTTATCAAATATTTTAACTTTCTTTTATTATGCTATCTCAATTTGACTTTAGTAGGAAAGACTTAGGTGAATTAAAATAGGGGTAAAGTTGAGACAACGATGAATATTTCAAAATCTATAACAGTTGATGATCGGGCAAATATCGATATAATGGTTAGTATGTAAGTTCCAAGGCAACGATCACCATGCACTGCAATCGCGACCGTCCAATCGGCGCAATGTTATGACGAGGCGTTACGCGAGTGATTGTCATTTTTAACTATGTTCCATCATTTCAATCGATTTGAAAAAATTATATGTTTAAATAGAGAATTCCGAAATGTTTTCGTAAGAATATAAAGATGATCACTAGAACATATCATAAAACAAAATTCATAAAAAGTTCAAAAATTTTTTTAGCAGTTTTTTATTCCTCACAAAAATTGCAAACAATTTTGTTAAAGTTACCTCGTCTACAACGTATATTTTTTTAAATTAAAATCAGTCCGGCTGTTTTCGCGAAAAAATCTATTTTTTTTTATTTCGCTGTCCTCCCACAAGAATGCAATTTTAAGGCTAATTTTTGGGGAAGTTTTACATGGATCAACTACTGATATCAATTTGAGCTCAATTGGTGCGAAGGCAGATTTCATATGCTTATTCTGTTATATCCTTTGAACTCTATATGTGTGCTTCCCCAGGAAGGAAAAGGGGGAGAAGGAAGGTGGGAGGGAGGGAGAGAGGATAAGAGAGAGAGGGAGTGAGAGAGAGAGAGAGAGAGAGAGAGAGAGAGAGAGAGAGAGAGAGAGAGAGTGGGGGCGGAATCCACCGTAATCACAAAATATATGGCCTATATAAAGTTAGTCTCCCCACTTTTAGAATTAAGGTATTTTGAGAATTGTGCTGATTTGTGCTAGGTTTGTGCTACATTGTGCTCGAATATTAATATCGTAAATTGTGTCGAGAGAAATTATTGCTTAAATTAATTTACCATTGTTATATTATTATACGTGCTCAGAATCACCAGCTATATTCTCCATACGATCGAACAATTGTCTGTGAGCAATTTTTGTACGCCCTGAAAATTATTCATGTGGAATTTTTAACATTTTTTGGTAAAATCAATAGATAATGACTTTACTGCATTTTCGTGTGTTTTATGTTATAACTATTGTATATCTGAACAAGGCTCAATCCTGCAGCCGAAACATGTTATGCGAACTGATATCACAGTTATTCATCCATAAGAACATATACAAATTTTTAATTTTTTATACTTATACGGTCGTAAGTAATATATTAATAGGATTGCCACAGACTTGGAAAATCGAGAAAAGTTAGGGGAAAATGTAAAAAAGTCTGGAATTTTGAAATTTGCTCATAATTTCCTTAAATTGCTCCTATTCCAGATAATTGTTATAATTTTTTAATATCATATCTGACGTTTATAATAAAATACGTTAAAAACTTGCACACTTTAAACGATTTTATAAAATAAAATAATTAAAATAATTATAAACGATTTTATAATTTTAATAGAATAATTCAAATTTTATTCAGTACTTTTATTTGATCGCTCTTTTTCGTAACTGTATTCTTTTTTCCAATACTAATTTATTTTTTGTTGACTTGAATCTGCACCCAAAATTTTAGTATGGCTATTAAGCCTTTTTTGCCTTGTTTTTAATAATATAGGCTAACTTTTCCTACAACTCTTGACTTTAAATGTGTTAAAATTTATATATTTTATATTGGAAAGTTTTCCATTTTTATCTAGAAAAGTCAGGGAATTTTAAAATTTTTCTGTGGCAACCCTGATTAGTTAAATTTTTATGAAAAGCTTTTATATCTTGACTTTCATTTGTTTTTTAAACTCTCTATTTGTTATTATTTTATACAAAGAATCTTGTACTTTTATTAATTTATTAATATCATAATTTGAAAAATACGTAAAAAAATGAAAAAAAGCATTTTTTCAACTTCACTTTGCATTTTTTCCAAATTTTTTAAATTGTGCTAACATTGTGTTAAAGTATCACTTTCAAATAATGATAACAATAGAAGCTATGAATAAAATAATTTTTGGCAAATCTGAATATAACTACCTAGATAATAAGTTTCCAGCATATTGCTATCAATTTAATAAAAATTGCATCGCCTGAGTTGCTATTTTTTTAGGAATTCGGCTTTCAATTTTGCTTATGATATTGGTGGCAATGTATATCATAAACGATTATGCGCAACTGGAAGGAAACAA